CAGTAGCTGGGGGTTTTTTGGGTGTGATCAATCTCTTCCCAATACTAATGAAAATGTCTGGACTTACAGAGTAAGCGAGTACAGAAGTCACTGGAGATTTTATACTTTTTTTTTTTTTTTTTTAAAGCATCAAAGGAAAAAAATTACTATTAGAAAGCAGTCATTTATATCTATATATCAGTATTTAATGCCAGTCTCTTCGCGAACGAAGAACCGGGGAAGGTCTTTCCACCTTCCAGCCTGCGCATTGGATTTTTTAGGTGAGACACAGTGTGCGCGGAACTGAGCCCACCCTTTAATCCTGAGGTTCATCTGCCGGGGCCAAGCACGCTTGGACGGTGGCAGTGAGGTCCTCAGGACGTAGATGGATTGCCTTCCATGGCTAACGAGCTCCATCTACCCGGGGAGTGGCCCCGACCGGGAATCGAACCGGGGTCTCTGCGGTGACAGTGCAGCACCTTAACCCTCTAGACCACCAGGGGCTCCCATATCAGTATAATGTTACTTCCAAAGTGAAATTCCAAATTAGAGGAAGAGGAGCACTCAGCTCTTCCCAAGGAGAGTTTTTTCCACATGATATTTCTTTGTTATACTGCTGCATTTCTGCCTTGTGTGACTCTTTTCATGCCTTTTAGCAAAGGGGTTGGGATCTGCCCCTTCACCTCCTTTTCCATATTTAGAGTGTATTAGGATTTCTCCCTTCACCTCCTTTTCCATATTTAGCATATAGAACTACAGCCTACTCCTTTCTGTCACATATATATATATATTCTTATAACATTTAGGTATTTTTCTTCCCCTTCTTCTGAAGGAAAGAGCACATGTTTGCAGTAAGCTTTTCCAGAGCTGTTCCCTTATTTCAGTAGCTGTGAATAGGCAGGGAACAAGTGATGTATCCATTCCCTCTCTCCTTCCTACCCTTCCTGCAGCTTGGTCAAGCTAACTATTGACTTTTCTGGATTGGTGTTGAAAATCGAAGTATTTTCTCGCAATGCAGAAGCTGCCTGTGATAGAAACGTCTCCCACAATGCAGGCAAAGCAGCTGCCTCGGGAGCACTGCTCTCCAGCTACAGGTCAGCACAGCTCAGTGAGTGTGGAGAGCCAAAGGTGGCCAGGTGCCCACAGGGCTGCAACTCACACCTGGAATACTTACGCAGTGGAAACGAGCAGGCGACGTGTGGGACAGCCCTGGTGAAGCTGATGCTGTTGGTGACCTGCTCCCAAAGCACGGAGCTCTCGTGTGCCTGGATGGGTTTCCCTCCTTCACCACATTGCCTTGGGTGAAGCAGCTCCCTCAGCCCGGGCTGGAGAGCAGGTATTTTGCAGGGCAGGTTTTTTTTTCCTCTGGGGAACATTCTTGTCTTTTGTATCATCAGGACGTGCCCCTTGTTCAGAGGGAAGGAGGAGCTCCTCTGTGATCAATCTCATCCAGCATGTGTGAATCCACCCAGACTGGCCCTTCCCTAATTAGGGCACCCAAAACCACCCAGCACCTTCTCCGTGGGTGACCTTGCTGCAGCCTCCTCGCTGTGGGGCTCCCCTGTGAGCTCCTCGGCGGCCGTGGCCAAGCCTGTCATCCTCCCACTGAAGTGACCAGCCTTGCCTTGGCTCACCCCCTTGCTCAGCTCCCCCTCATAGCAGGGACATGTCAGACATTAATTAGCTGGCAGAGAGAATGAGCTGACAGGCTGTTAAAGAAAAAAAAGCCCCACATTGCCCATACTTGGTCTGTACCTGTCTCTGTTCACCCCCAGCCTCTGCTTGCAGCCAGGAGAGGGACTGGAGGGATATTTTTGGAAAGGCCCTCGGGATGTTGCATTTTTGGGGCTGAAGATGGTCAGTGAAGTGAGGAGGACTGAATTTTAAGCTGGGGAATATTGCTGGGGGTGTTTGGGAGCCTGGGTACAACAGGAATATGAAGGAACTGCACAGTGGTGGAGATGGAAAGGAGCTCCAAAGCAGGGGCAGAACTGTCACATTCCAGGGAGGGAGGGATGTCAGAAATACTGACCTGTGGGACACAGGGAGGAGCTTTGGACCAAAAAGGATTTTGGGTGGCTGGAAGGAAGGTGGTTCTGGCTGAAGGGCAGAGGCTGTGAGAGGACAGGGCACCAATGCTGGGATGGGGCAGCACCAGAGACAGGGGAGAGGGGGTGACAGTGGGGGACTGAGCACAGAAGGGGCCTGAGGTGACTCTGAGTGGTGGTGGGGTGAGTGATTGAGGTAGTACAAGATGCAGGATCCCCTGGGGTATCTCCTTCCCCCCATTTCTTACCAGAGGTGACAATTTGGGTGGCCTCAAAGGTGGTCATTGTAGGAGAGGGTCACATTGCACCAGCTCCTGCTGGCCCTGTCCCTGCTCTGATGGATCAGACCCCTGCTCTGGTCCAGTGGTCACTGGCATCCCAAAGCAGTTTCCCCCTGTGGAGTTTCCAAGCATGAAGGGAAACATCTCTGGCCTGTGCTTGCTGGGGAAAGGGGAAGTGAGAAGGGAGGTCAGACACACCAAGGCAGTGTTGAGCAACCCCAACACTGCACTTTCCCTGTAAAGCAGCTTTAGCATCTCCTCTGTGAATAAGAGGAGATGGATTTTCCAGGGGTGGCACAGTGAAATCCATTTTCACTGGTGACCAAAGGGGAAAAAATTGCTGTATTTGGATGATAGGCGTGTCTTGAGAGAATTTAATGCTGTTAGAAATGCCATGTAATCCTCCATTTAATCTTGAGTGGCAAACCAACCAAAGAATTGTTTCATGCTATGTAGTGCTGAAGGAAATCACAAGCAGAGGAGCCCATAAAAGTAATGTTTTCAATTTATTTATATAAACAATTGCATTTTAGCAACATTGTTGTCCTACAAAAATAAAGTGAAAAACAATTCACAGAATTTTCAATAAATAATCTCAAACATACACATTTATCATGAGCAAGTTGAACCCAGCCAAACCCAGCAGGTTGGGTCCCATCACAGGCAGGAACAGTTGAAATGTGGCTGCAGAGTACAAAATGCCAAGTGAACAGGATTCCTTGCTGAAGCAGCTTGTAACTCAAGTGACACGGTGTGAGGACTTCCTCTTAGCCTCCCCCAAAATAACCAGATGTGTCCAGACTTGCCTCCCTTTGTAAGCCCAACACTTTTCCTCAGTTAAGCTCTGGAGGGTGTTCCAAAGATGGATCTCATTGCCAGGAGTCCAAGCAGTTTTCACTCTTTAGCAAATGCAGCACTGACCACATTTGGGTACAAGGTGATTGAAGGTTTTTCCTTCTTCATGCTTCAAACAGAAGAAGGAAAACAAATGCCCTTCTTGCTCCCAAAGCATCCACACCAAAGCCCAGCCCAAGTCAGCCCTTGGTATCGATGGCTGTAGGAGATGCTGGTTCAGCTGTTCATGGCAGCAGTTACAGACCTGCACAGCCCAAGGTCAGCACTGCCTCTACACCAAGCAATGGAAACAGAGGTCACAGACAAACTAGCTATTGCCAGAGTTCTTACAGTGCACAAGCCTCTACAAGTGCGTGAGAGATTCAGATGAAATAGAAAACTCAAGTCCTTTTCCACAAGTAGTCAAGGAATTTTGGGCAGGGGCACAGAGTACCAGGTTGCTGCTCTATTCCAGTCTGAAGTGACATTTTCTTTTTCCCCTATAGTTCCCCAGCTGTTTTTATGGGAAGATCATCTTCTACATTTCCTCTCTAGAAATTAAAAAAAGATACCCTTACATGCAAAGTCTGAAGTGCTGGTACAAGATCCTGTGTAACTAATGTGCCCAGATGAGACTAGATATTTTAGTGCTGGATCAGGACAAATATGTCCACGAGTTTTTGTGCTAGCCAGTTCTAATGAAGCTTAAGCCAATTACTTAAAATGCCTCTGTTTATAAATGATAAATAAAACATTATCCCTCCTCCCCCCAATAAGCAGAACTACAAACTGCATGTACAACTTGTGTACACAGACTCAAGTACCTCCAAGGCTCTGTGCCCTGAAGTGCTGCTAAATCTACTCTGCATTCTGCTTCCTGTGTGTTTGCACAACTGCTCAGCTTTCACTGCTCCCCAGGAATCCCCATTTTGGGGACACAAAGCTAAACCAGAGCCAGAGCCTAACTACAGCTCCACTGTCCTACTGTCCTCGGAGGGACAGACACCAAAGCATCAAGTAAGCCAGAGAACTACAGCTATGAAAGGAATACCAGTACCTTGGGCTAAGTTTAAGACCTCCCCAAAGTTATACAATAAAAACATCTGTATCCCAACACAAGCAGCCTCGTACTGCAGCCCGAGAGCCAGTTATTGCTGAGCTCAAGTACCCCATTCTCACCCCCTTACACAACTAATACTTTTGTGACACGTGCTTCCAAGAGAAGTAGAAGCCAAGAAAAGTTCTGTTTTCTTTAAATAATTAAATAATTAAAACGTGTTTATAAATAGTTACTTTCATGTAAATCCAGAAGTGGATTTACACATAAGAAACATATAAATTATGATACAAAGTGCCTTATCAGCAGTGAAGGAGAGGTAGTATCAACAACAAATGCAATGCATTTTCTGACCTTACATAAATGAGTGAGTCTCAAGTATATGCACTTTTTCATTAATCTTTGAGTTCTCATACTTAATTCGTAATCCCCTCTGGCAGTTTTCATTGAGTCAGATTTTTCTCATTCTTTTTGGCCAACAGCTGTTTTCAAGTTTAAGCTGCTGCGACAAAAACTTGCTTCTGCAGTGTTACGTGACCTATGAAAACCACCAGACAAAGCAGACAGAACCACCACCACCCCCCTTCATCAAGTATTAAAACAACATTAAAAAAACCCAAAGAGTTGGAACCTTTGTCCACTTTGGAATACATAGTTCTGTTACAGAAGATTTTAAACAAGGGATTCACCACTGTCCAGCTCATACACAGAAAATCCCTTTTTGTAAAATGGAAGCCTTACCTGAGTAAGGAATCTAAGGCAACCCCACAATGAAGATGCTCAAGTTTGTTTGGTTTTTTTCTAGTTTTTAAATACTAAGCCATAAATAGAATAAATAACACAGTTAAATAAATAAATAGGTGGATTTCTACAACTCAGCAGAGCGCTCTTTCAGCAGTAGTGTGGGGTTGATATCTTCCATGGCTGTTTTTGAGGTACTAACGTTAATGGTCGCCTCTGTGGGTTCAGGACTGAGGATGTGGAAGGCAGTGAAAGGGCAGCCCTTGACGTTGTCGCAGATGAGCTTCTGCAAGGAGGCGGTGTTGATGATGTCAAAGCCCACTTTGCCGCCGAAGGTGCTGGGCTTCCAGTACTCGGGGGAGCAGATGGCATTGCCCATCAGTCCCTTCAGGGAGAACGGGGCTCCCATCTCCACCATGGTTTCTCCAAAGATGGCACCTGGGCGTGGCTTTTCCACCAGAAGGCCTGGGTACAGCTCCATGGCATCGATGTCTCCATACAGCTCCTCCAGCTCAGCTGCCATTTCCTTTTCTCCTGTAACGAGTAAAAACCGTTAGTGGAAAAACCCCACTTTCCTCACAAGACTATCCTGCTCAAGTCCAGTAACAACACTGCAGGACTCTTTTAAGGAAGTGGCCCTTATCTGCTCAGAAGGATGAGAACTGTTACCTGTAAGCTCTTCAAAGGATCTGAATGGTTTCAGCATGAAGCGTTTCCTGTACTCGTTCAAGGACTGGTATCTCATTTGCCTGCTTTGGTCAATCGAAGCCTTGGCCACTTTCTGTACTGCAGCAGGAACGTTCTTCCCACCAGCAACCTGGATAATCAAGATGAAAAGCAGTAAGATCTTCTGATAAGAGCCATGAGGAAGCTGTGCCCTTACAGTCTGTGATTAGTTTTAAACAGTTTTATTCTACTCCCTTGTCCCACCCCCAGCTTACGCCTCTGTTGGTTCACCAGCGACTGCGGGAAGTACCTACCCTGCCAGCACTTTGCTTGGAGAAGGATTTCACCATGTGGGAAAGGCCATGCTCCAGCATGATGGAGTTGTTGTAGAGGAACTGCTGGAAGGTGTACTCCTGGTCATGGATCTGGAAGGTGTCGGGCAGCAGCGGGTGCCAGTGGTACAGGGTGTTGAATTCGGCCGCGATCCGGTTCTGGTACTGGAACCGCTGGTTGAACAGCAGCTCGGGGTCAAACTTGAGCTTGAAGTGGTACCCGCTCAAGTGCTGCACATAGTCCTCAATGACAATCTTGATTGTCTCTCCTGGGGGACAAAGACATAGCAGAGAATATTGGCACTGGTTCCCTGAGAAAGTTTAGGCGGTGGAGAAAATACCCTTTCTGAATTGTTCTAAAAATTACTACATTGATCAGGACTACAAACACTGCAGCATTCTGTAATCTCTCCTAGAAAGCAATTCATATATTTTATGTGACCAAGAGGTGGAACAGTACTTAAAATTCCAGGAGATTTTGGCTGTGGTAGTGAAGTGCTTTCTATGGCTTGCACCCAAGATACAGTCCCTTGTACTCTCCCCAGAAAGCACACAGCAGTACCTACACTGTGTTCAGTCATACAGATGGAGGGAATAATGAAGAAAACTGATGCCTGAAAGCAAATCGCAGCTTCTGAGCCATGTCATACAGTTGTCTTGGTTTACAGTTTCAGTTTGGGCAAGGTCTTTTCAAGCTTGGAGTACGTCACCTCTCACATAGGATGAAATATCACTGAGCAGACAATCAGACAGGAGAAATATGTGGAGTTATGTTTTACCTAACCTCGTGAACTTTAGATTTAATCACAGCCTCTCCTTTAAAGCATACCTGAACTGACTCAACCCTAGGGGAAAAAACCCAGATCTGAGAGCCTCAGGTCATGTAGCCTCACATGCTTTCTCTGAGAAAGGAACCTTCCTTTACTGCCTTTTCACTGCTTTCAGTTCTGCTTCCCTGAGATAAGGGAATGGAGTATCCCTTAGGCCAGTTTTCCTCAATTCTGTCTTCAGCAGAGCTGGGGGAAGCTGAACCTCCCCACGGCCCCGCTGACAGGCCGGGAAGGTGCCACTCACACCCCAGTTGGTGCAACAGCTTCCCTCTTACTGCACCCCAGAGAGAGGGTTCAGCTGCACGGTGGTGAGGGGACACTCACCGATCAATATGAGCCTCGCGGTCTGGAAGAGCTGCTCGTCGTCCCACTCGGGGTGCTCGCGCTTGAGGACGTCACAGACGCGGTTGTGCTCCCGCAGCCAGATCGTGGCGTACATCATCAGGCCCGGCACCAGCCCGAACACCTCCTGCCCCACCGAGAACCGCAGCTGCTCGGGCACGTGGGGCGGGTACAGCATCTCTGCCTGGGTGTCCTTCACCGTCGGGGGGTACATTTCTCCATCGATCATCTGCCAGGGAGGGGGGAAGAATAAAACGAGGGGTGTGAGCTGTGATGCTGAGGAGTTACGCTGTTAGCACTGACTTTAGTCCTACACTTCAGATCAACCGTGCACAGAGAGCTAATTTAGGAAAGATGTCATCCAGTAAAAAGGCAGGAATTTTGAGGTAAGACGTACCTGGTATTTTAGCTTTCCATCCTTTCGGAGTCTCAGTTTAAGTTGCCTCTCCAGAGTCTCTCCATAAATGTGGTTCAAGTCAACCTATAAAACAAAAGCATTTGGAACATGAAGCCAACCTGCATTTTTTGCTATTTTAGGATAGGTCCCACTTCTATGGATGCCAATAGGAGCTCACCCCCTAGATGTTTACCTTTCAATTATATCGCTGCTACCTTATAAGTATCAAGCACTGATGTTTAAGATGAAGCCAAATTATTTCCTGGCAACCAGAGCCGTCTCTGCGTAAGAGGGGGTTGTGAAATTGGCAATTTAAAAGGACTCTGTTTAAAGTGTCAGCAACTTTCTATTATGCAGACAGGTCTCTGTATATACACACACAGTTTACAGCTTTGGTGGAGATATACAAATTACACTTATAGAGAAGAACTTTGTCTGAAGGCTGCCTGTTTTTTAGGTGAAGATCCTAAATCCAAGTCTGGTTCTGAAGTTCTTTTTAAACTTAAGCCTATTAGCAGTCCACAAGATGCCTTAGGGCTGGATACAGCTTTGGTAAGTTTTGGATACTCACTAGCTATAGGTGAAAACAGATTGTTGGGAGTACTGAGAGTCATGGAGATCACTGGGCAGATATTTTAAACAGAACCACTTGCACAAAGCATGTGGTTCTGACTTGGGAAGAGCTGCTATGGAGTGCTGGGGTCTGACCTAAGGAGAAGTTCCAGGAGGGACGATCCCACAGGTTTGTGGCACATGTGTGTGTGTGTGTGTGTGTGTGTACACAGGTGTTTGTGTGCCCTGGCAACCTGCAGGATGCCACTGCAGCTGCTCAGTGGCTCCTGAGCACCAGGAGCTGTGCTGGTTACAGAGCTGTGACCGTACCCCGTGGCCGAGGCCCTTGGTGAAGCCGGGTCCCTTCTTGTGGTCCGTCTTGAAGAACTGGTGAGTGAAGTGCTGGGCAAAGAATGTGAACATCACATTTGTGCCTTGTGGGTCAGGAATGAACTTTCTCCTTAGCAAAAACTTCTCCACGATCAGCTTCGAGTCTGGGAGCTCCTTCTTGCCTGTGAGGGAAAGAAAGTGAGATATTCAAGACAACTGTTTGTGTCATATTAATTTTGTTCCTAACAAAAAGGCTTCAGACTTGCAATGAAATCCTGAAGGACAGCAGCATAGAAATAAGGGGAATATCTGCTTTTCTATGCTCAGTTTGTTGATTTCGTTAGAAACTTTTAAGTTCCCTGCTTTTAGCCTGTAACTCAGTAATGAGAAGCAGAAGAAATATATTTTAGGTCTTCACACAATGTATCCAAAACGTGGCTATTCTTAAAGTCCCCTACCCTGAAAAAAAGTTACAGACAAGGAAGTCTCATAGGAATTTCTACTTATCCTCTTAGAAAATACTAAAAGCGAATGGTATGCCTCTGGTTTTTTCCTTACCTTTAACACCCATCGGCGTTGGACAGTCAAGCCCTACAGGTGGAAGGGATCTTGTGTAGTAGGAAAGATTGGAATAAGCTTCCCAGCTTTTATAACTATAATCGGTATTGTAAGTTGGCGGGCTGTCAATCAAGTGTGACCTTGCTGAAAGACAAAGAAGTATTTGATTATTTTCCACTGTACCTTTTAGTCTCAGAAAGTAAATCACAAAGCCAGATCTTTTCCATGTATTTGGCAGCAGTTGTAAATTCCACAGGTATCAGGCACTGATGTTAAACAGGATTACAGTTACTGAGTAACAGGACTGGGACCTGGTTTATCAGCTGGATCCCACTATTAACATGAGCAATTTGGAGCAAAGTTTATGCTGGCAAAATCCTGGATTCTAGTAGAAATTAGAGCAATCTGCACTTTAGTATGTTTCATACAGGTCTGCATCATACAGAAATCTGAAGTTTTCGGTGGTGTTTTAACCCTAGTGCACTTCAGGCTGTTTATAAAATAAAATATATATAAATATATATTTATATATATATATATATAAATAAAATGTTTATAAAATATACAGACTAATGGAGAGTAATATTCTGGAGTCCCAGGAGTAACTTCTGCCAGCTTTGAGAAGACTGGAAGAGAGAATTCATACTTACACATTAGCACGTATCTCATAATAGCATCCCGCAGGAAGGGAATGTTGTTGATGATGTTCCAGACTCCTTGGAAGTGCGTGAGGATGTAGTGGACAGTGTTTGGTGATGGTTTCAGTGTTAGCTTGAGCCACGTGAAGAATTCCGCTGCGGGCAACCATGGAAAGGTTATTACAAACCAGCAATTGAGAACAATCTGCCGTGCTGGAACTGGGTTACCGATTTAACTCCTCTGAAGGGAGATTTAAGGTACTCACGCGTGCTGCAGTTCTCCCCGTAGAAGCCCGTCCTCGTGCAGTCGCACTGGTAGCGATCGGGTCCGGTGGTCATGCAGACCCCTCTGTTCTGGCAGGGGTTGGAGCAGCAGGGGTTGGCTGCAAGGGAACCAAAGCTCCATTAGCATCCCACGCCGGTATTCCCGGGCTCTACACGCGCAAGGAGAGAGCCCTGGAGCGCAGCGCTGATCAGGGAGGCAGCAGGGGGAGCATCCATCCTCAGCAGCCTTCGGGCTACCAGGGAACAGCTTTTAGAAGAGCAGGAATTCGTCCCTGCTTGCTGACAGCGATAACCAACCCCCCCCCCCCCCCACCCCGAAAGCGGGATTACCCCTCACAGCCCAACGGGGGGCCGCCACCCATAGATCAGACAAGAGAGCAAAATAAAACACGAAAAGAATAAGCGGTAAATTAATCCAGAGCGCGGCTGCGAGGCGGAGAGGGGCGATGCCGGCGGGACTCACCGGCGCGGCCGGCGGCCAGCAGGGCCAGGAGGGCGCAGGGCAGCAGCAGCATGGCCGTGTGCGGGGCTCGTGTGCGGGCTGTGCTCGGCTGGGCTGTGCTCGGCAGCTCCGCGATGCAGTGCCGGCCCCAGGTACGCCGCGCTCTATTTATGCCGGGCCGCGGCTCTGAGTCAGCGCGGCCGCCGTGAGACAGCGCGGGGGCGGCGGGCCGGCCCCCGGGGCAGGGCGGGCGGGAGGACCGAGCCTCTGCCGCTCCTCGGTGCCCGCAGCTCCCGGGCCCCGCACCCCGCTGTTCACACTCAGTGCCCGCAGCTCCCGGGCCCCGCACCACGCTGTTCACACTCAGTGCCCGCAGCTCCCGGGCCCCGCACCACGCTGTTCACACTCAGTGCCCGCAGCTCCCGGACCCCGCACCACGCTGTTCACACTCAGTGCCCGCAGC